TGCCCTTCTCCTCTCCCTCTCCCAGCTTCTCCTCCACTGATTTGTGTTTATTTATGTCTTGACTAGGCGAGGGTGGGGCGATTATGACGATACATACTGTGAGACAATGGAAATTTTTCAACTGACGGAGAGTTTTCGCTACCATTTATGCTGATTGTTTGACCGCTCGTGTCTCTTTCCTTATTGGACTTTTCTGTTTTTGAGGGTTTCTTGCTATTTCAGCCATCAACACATAATTGATTAAATCTCCCGGATACGGCCGCTGCCATGTTGCGCTGGTGATGTCATCTGGAGTCTGCACAGTAGTGATCAGGGTTGGTGTCGCGGTATCGAGATCCTGCCCACATGCCTGGCCGACTACCAGCAGGGGGCAGCTCCATTGGCTGCAATAAAACACAGATACCATGCAGACTTATGGAGAAATGAGCTAACTTCTCATTGATTTATTAGCTCATTAAACAGTTTAATGCTGTTGTTATTATTATTAACTTATTAATGACTTTCTGCTAAAGTGCACAAGCTATTCTTCTGTCATTCCTTCCAGTTACCAAACAGCTTTAAGGTGCAATACCACCAACCTCTGGACTGAAGTAGGATGCACCCTGATTGGCATGTAGCCCTAGAAAACCAGGACCGATTGCAATCAGATCTGTCAAACAGAGACCGGATATATGTGGTGTAAAATATAAGTGTAAACAAAAGTGTATTAAATCTCATGTGGATTTTATATGGTGACTAGAAACTTGATATGATAAGTGTAAAAAAAAAAAGAAGCTAAAACATTCACAAGCTGATGTCATCAAACTGACCCTGACTTTACAGTTTTTAATAAAACCGTTGTTCATATCGTCCCAGGTCGCTGTATGTTACACGAGTAAACGCTCACACCATCTCACACTGTCTCTCTCCCTCTTTTACTTTTCTAATCCCAGTTGAATGCTGCAAGTGTGTAAAGATAAAGAGCTGTTAAGTGATGCTGTGCTTTCTGCAACCAGGGCTCAGTTTGCCAATCCTGACCCTTTTTATAGCTACTAACCAATTAAAACCAATCTTAATAGAAAACACTTGGAACATACATCAGCATGATAAGAACTATCTAAAACAACTTTTTTTTTTGTTGGTCCCGTTTGCTAACATGGAGGCAGCTAGTCTTATGACCTATACTGCAGTCAGCCACCAGGGGGCGATTGAGATCCTCTGGCTTCACTGTTGCAGAGCTGTCATGTCGTCTATCTTTATATATACGTCGATGATTCAACCGAATCAACACTTAGTGGCACCAAGAAAGGCAGAGGAGAAGAGTGCTTTAAAATGTTAAAATAAATTGTCTTTATATACACAGAAGAGAAGAGAAAAACTGGACGTACGTTTACAAGAAAACTACCTTTCGCCCTACAAGGATCTTTGAATTCATCCTGCTAGATTTCATTTTCTGTGGGTGTTTCTGCACTCTGGTTGTTTGTCTGATGGTTCCTCTCACAGGCTGATGGATGATGCTGAGGAGGGATATGAAGCTGGTTGAAAGGTTCTCAGTAGCAGGGTAAATGATCAGCCTGTGCTCAGCCACAATATTCACATTACTTCAGTGTCTGCAGGGCTGGGCAGGGATCGATACTCTATTACTCTTCTACCTGAGCCAATCCCTGGACGACCGACCACCACGGGGAGCCCTCGTCGCTGCTCAGACTCCACTAATCAATGCTGTTGCGGACAAGGGGGAAAAAAAAAACGTGATTAGAGATCTTAACTCCTGGAACCGCTCAGACACGGGTCCCTGAAACAACATCCAAACATCACTTCACATAGTTGTTGCATGTACAGACATTTCAGACAGGAAGTGCTTTAGTGCTGGTCTTTGTAAGGTGAGAGCTGGTAGAGACTCCTGGGAGCACTGCAGTGGCCTCTGCTTCTGATTAAAAGGTTGCTTTTGCAGCAATCAGCTTTGCAGAGTCAGCAAATTACTGACCTTGGTTGTCTCCTGTATGTGTGTGTGTGTGTGTGCTCTTGTTTCCCCACACTTGAACATACACCGTAGTGTGTATATGCTGTGGTCTGCATTATACACATATACATGACCTTTGGTGGATGGTACTGTTACTGATGTTTATGGTTGAAGCAGGACTTGAGTCTATTCCAGCTCACAATGGACGGGTTGCCAGGCTATCACAGGGCTAACACATACCGACAAACACATTTACACTCACTTTCACGCCTATGGGGAATGTCTTTAAGTCTCATCACCTCGCCTGCATGTCTTTGGACAGTGGGAGGAAACCAGAGCTCTCAGAGGAGAAACAATATGCAGCCTTCACACAGGCAGGCTGCAGCTGGCAGATCAGTTCAGTGGGTTTCTAAGCATTGATCCACTGTGACTGCAGTCAGTAGCTTCACATTTTCCTGTTGTAAAATCTTAAACCTGTAACAAAACATCCAACCAAAGACCAAGTTTGGAAAAGGGCAGGGCTTTGGATGACATTGTCTTTCCCGTCCCCCTATCAAGCTGACTTTAACCAATCAGATATGATA